CACACACACACACACACACACACACACACAGACTCACACACATAATTAGACATAATTAGTTCATCACCAGGCCTCTGGAGAACTACAGGACATGTTGAGGAGGTCGTTTAAATCAGCTGTGTTGGATCAAGGACACGTGTAAAACCTGCAGGACGCCGGCCCTCGAGGCCTGGAGTTGGACATCTGTGGTTTAGTCAAGTCAAAAAAACTCTATTTATCTCCAAGGAGCAATTAAGATAGATACCCTGCCGACCGTACGTACAATACACAAACATCACATTGGGGAGTCCGGTCAGGCTAGGTAGCGCTGGCCGGTCGACCACGAGCAGCGACCCGGAACCGAAACAATGGAAAAAGCACAACATGAGGAAAGACGAGGAGAACAAAGACTGAGCTCCAACAGGGAGATCAGTTTGAGAACAGAAGAAAACGCCTCAGCACATGAATCATCACATCTGACAGGGGGGAGTGTAGGACTTGGGATCAGCTGCACACTGGTAATGTCTGCAGCTACATCGAGAACTTCCCAAAACCTGTGGATGTCTGAACATTTTTCCCTGTGTTCAGCACACGTGTCTGAATATTAGAATCTGTTTAATGTAATTTCTGTTTCAAATAGTTCTGCAGTTTTGCACAAACCGGTGGCAGACGGTATTTTAAAAGCCAAATCTTTCCAGCGGGTCCGCAGGCCTTATTGTCCCAGAAAGGCGAGACCCGGGACAGTGTTTGGTCCCACGTCAGCGACCCAGTGTGTTGAGTCTTTGTGTCATTATTGAACTTTGACTTTGTCATTGTTGATCTTTTCTAATCTTCTGGTTTCTGTTTGTGTTGCATGGTTGCTGTTCCCTCCAAGTCAAGTCCACATCTGTTGTTTCCTGTTTTACTTTGAAAGTCTGTGTCCTATGTAAATGCATTGAGTTTTGCGTCAGTCACTCCCAGCTGTGCTCTCCTTCTGTGTTTCGTTCCCTCGTTATCCCTCTGGGTATTTAAGCCTTGTGTTTGCCTCTGTTAGTTGCTGGTTTGTCTGCGTATCTTCCTCCGTGTCTCCCTGCGTCTCTGTTTTTGGTTTCAGGTTTGTTTTGTTAGTTTTTGTCCAGTTAGGGTTTTTTCCTTGTCCTGCTGTTTCTGTGTTTTTTTTACCCCCTTACAAAATAAAGCTCACTCACACGTATGCACCTTTCATCATTTACCTTTACGTGTACGTCTGCTTAGACTGAGGGTGTAGATGTTGTTGGTATAACTGAGGCTCTCAGTTTATGTTACATTAGTTTAACCTACGTCGTAAAGTGCCAAAGCTGAACTGAGAAAGTGCTTCACAAAGCTAGCTCTGCTCCACCCTGTCAAAGGCTGGTTCTGCATCCAGCTGAAGCAGCGCCATGTCTGCATGTTTACGTTGTGCAGAGAGAAGATGAAGCTCCCCTTCAAGGCGGTTTGCCAGTACTGTGAACCTGCGATCTGTGTTAGTGGGATTGGTAGGATTCACATTTCATAGCTGGTTTCGCAGGTTTGGGCAGTACCATTATCATCACGCACAGACGGAGGTAGCGCTCTTAAAGTGTAGCGTTCCACTAACTTATCCTACAGGGGGCGCAACACTGTGTCCTTAAATACTTTACAAACGTTTTTAATTTGTGCATTACATTTGAAAGTTCAGTCACTGATAACAGAGAGTCTGATTCAGTCCCAGCTTCTCGACAAAGTGACGTTGATGGAGTCTAACGAGTCTTACGTTGTGTATGGTTGTGAGTCTTTACGTTGTGCGGCGCGTCGGGCAGCTGTTCATTGTTGGCGATTAGAGGCTGTTGCTTCGGTTCCTCCCAGTTAACACCAGCTCATTATTATGGTCTGGCACCAGCTGGTCTTCGGTCGTCCTCTGAGTTGTGAGGAATAAAGAGATCATTTGTTCTCTATCTGTGATGTTTTCATCTGCGGCTCTAATTTCATTTATTGTTTATCTCTCGTTCACTCTGATGCACCAAAGTTTTCCTGCTCTCGCTCGCTGATCGCCGCAGGTCCGTCCACGCTCGGCTGAACTTAATTCATCATGCTTTTAGTTTTAATAGATTTTGTTGTTTTTCTTTACAAAATCATCTCTAGTTCCACTTCTGTTATTTGAGCATCAAGTCCAACATCTCAGTTTTATGTTTATTTGATCTGTTTTCTGTGTAAAGCTTCATCTGTCCACGTGTAATTACCTCAAAGGCTTCCCCTCTGACTGAGGCCGTAGCTTCAGATTTAGTGAGGTAGAAACCATCATCAGTGAATTTGGGTTATGTACCCAGCAGCGATGGCTGAATACTAAAGCTTGATGGATGAGTGGAGAGTTTGAAATAAGGAAACAGTCTATGCGACTGTGGCTGAGCGACAGGACTGTGCTCTCTGTGGTGGGATTTCTCGTCTCCTTACGTTTTAGGCTCAGCTCGGACATGAATGTTGTATAACTGAATCATTATAGTCTGAACCTGATGATCTGTCAAGCCCAGGATCTAAGGTACAGTCGAGCTGCAGTGTAGAGGAACATATAAAAGCGGAGGTCGCCTGTGTTGGGCCGTATAAATGAACCATAATGAAGTCTTTGTTCATCACTGAGCGCTGTATGATGATGAAGCTCCCCGTGGGTCTAAGCTGGGTCATGATTTATGTCCCCGCCTCCATCAGCATGTGATGAGAGGTGGGTAGAAACAACCTGAACCGCGTCCTTCTCCGAGCGATTTCACTCCCACACGGGTGTGTCATGAATGAAGACGTCCTTTGGGTGACATTGTTTGAGTCTATTCATTACGCTCTATAGTTTAATACATTTCCTAAGGCCTCTCACACTCCAGGACATCAGTTTCAGTCAGTTTGTGCCCTTTGAACAAACTGACTGCGTTTCGTCTCAGCTGTAGGAACGAAAATGACTCTTTAAAACACTCAACTCTTATAAAGCACAGCCCAGGACCCGACCTGTGGAAATGTCACAGATTCCCTCCTGTTGTCACTGAAGCTTGTTTGGCTGCTGATCGTACAGGAGCAGAAAAAACCTCCTGTTGTTAATTCAAAGCTTTAAACTCACTGCGACCATTTTAACTGAGACGCCAGATAATATTTACAGGAATTAAATATGTAATATTTAATTCATGATGCAGGCACGATGCTACCTGCATCGTGCCTGCATCGTGCCTGCATCGTGCCTGCATCGCGCCTGCATCGTGCCCG